TTATTATTCGGAGGTCCTTGACCTATGTTATTTGGCATTTGAATTCCATTTTCAATATAATATAACCTTTGTTCTCTAAGTGATCTTACCAATCTAGGATTGATACAGTTTTGATTTCGACAAGGGGTGTTTGGATCATCTCTAGCATGATTTTCACCACAACAACATCCGCAAGCGGCTATGTAGTTTGGTACACGTCTTCTTCTTGGCCTGTATGGTCTATATGGAATTTGTCTGGGTCTATGATATAGTCGGTAATAAGGTCTGTATTCAATGTCAAACCAAACATTCGGTAATACAATTACTGGATAAACACATAAAACGGTTTTTATTATAATAAAAAATAACAATAAAAATTTATACATTTTTAATCATAAATTCTGGTACTATTTTATAATTGAATTTATATTTGGGACTATTTTTAAATTTATTAAGACCCTCTATTAATGCTCTTTTATGATTGTTATCTATCCTATCTCCTTCAGCTTTACGAAGAGAACAACTTTTTCTATTATGACCAATGGCGCCACACCAACCACACATTCGTAAGGGATAATATGGTGCTTCAAAATATTTTTTTGCTGCAGCTCTGATTCCAGCTACATTTTGCAAGTTTCTACCTTGAGTATTTGCCCAAGGACATTTTCTTTTATTATGACCTAACGCACCACAATATGTACATGATCTTCCTTCGGGAGGTCTGTTTCTAACGATTTTATGTGATTGCCAGGGTACTAAAGTTTTTCCTATTCTATTTAATACCATATCTCCATCATCATAAAATGCTGTATTGATACCAAATTGTCTTGGGCATGTGTTTCTGTTATGTCCTTTTTTTCGACAGATTCCACATAAACTATTAACCAGAGTCATTATTGATAGTAATATCAGAAATATGATTAAAAAAATTGTTTTTTTGCATGATATCCTTTATTAGATACGATATGTGACGTGCTGCCACAATTACTGCAATGTCTTAGTTTTTGGTGTTGTTGTAATCTAGGACAGGGATTTCTATTACAGGTGTTTTTATTATGACCGATTAAACCACAACAACCACAAGCAGATAAAACGTTTTTAATTATTAAGAGAAAAACAAGAAAAGTGATAAATTTAAATTGCATAGTTTTTATATTTATTAATA